AGTGACACTGCGCTTTAGGTCGGTGTTATGCAGAAATTTTGTTTGGCAAACTGCGTGCAATTGTTGTTGCAGCAAACTCGGAGAGAGCGAGTTTGGCGACTCTCACAGCAAACTAATTTTGTTTGGTCAAACTGCAGCAAATTCGGTGTTGTCATATACAAAAATTTTAAATTTTGCGCGTTATGTACATCTGAAATTCTCATTTCGTGTTGGCAATAGCCATGAAAACCATAATGAACGTGCAACCCTGTGCCAAAGTCGACATAACCACCTCCGAGCAAACTAAGCAGCCACCATTTAATTTGGCAAACAAAAGTTTGTCTGCATAACACCGACCTTATAACCAAAGAAAACACGACTATTGTCGCATGTGTAAACGAAAAGAGAGTGTGGGTCGTTCATGTAACAGAGTGCATAAACGTATAAGATTATCTGCTTGATAAAGTTATCGGTTTAGATGAATACCACTATTATTTTTTCAACAGAGAACATCAACACATTCACCACTGACGGAATCGCGGGAAGCACTTCCTGCAAAACATCCTCCGCAGACATTAATGTATGTAAACACATAGATATACATATATGTATGTAAAATACGATGACCATCTATATCTATACTATGTATTATATAAAATTGTTTATATGGAAGGCATTTGTAATGATTTATTTCTCAAAGTACCAAACCGATTTTAATAATTATTTTTTTAAAACGACTTAGTTACTTTTTATCCTTTTACTTACTTATCTTTATATCATTGGAAGATGAACTTTTTTTTTTTTTGGGTGTAAAGTTAGAAAAAATTACAAAGACGTACAAGCATAAGCCTATTTGGTCGCCAAATACAGCGCATAGCGACTCAATCAAGTTAGCGGCGCTGAAATGAAAAAATGAAAAAAAAATTTGTTCGTATTATCGTGCTCATTGTGTGCTAATTTCGGCCACTTTTCATTTTTTTTTTGGGCTCCGACCATTTGGTAAATAACTAAGACTTTGCTAAGTTAACCGTAACTTAGCAAAA